TACCAATGTAGTGTTTAGTGTCGTTCGTGTTGTTCGCTGTGACTGTGGCTTTGTAAATAATGTTGTTGGTCATACATTGTTTCGGTAGTGGGCAAGTGTTTTTGTTGTCGCAGTTACAGTTGTCAGTTTCCGTATGCTGTGATTGACTGTTCCTAATTATATGTGCGTTGTGTTTGGTGATTATAGACTTAACGTTGTTCATGCAACTGTAGCTTACTTTTAAAGTGTTTCTGTTAAAAATCTTGTGTAGTTTGTGCTGTAGTGGGAAGTGTTTGTCAATTAAACTTAAGAATTCCCGTCCTATGTTCGTGTTAACACTCTTACTAAATGGTGGGTTGAACCAAATTATGTTGCGTTGCCTATTCCTACGTGTCCGTTGCGGTGCATCCTGAGTGTACGTAAATTCGTGATCAAAGTTACTATGTCTAAGAGCGTTCTGGTAAATAGGTGTAGATTCCTTAAATGTTTGTTCGTCCGATGAGAGAAGTGCAATGCGTTTGTTGATAGCTGTAGGTAATTGTCTTGCAATGCTTGGTGGATGGTTGAGTGTCTGTTGATGTACAATGGATCGTCATTGGGTTTCCTGTATGGTTTGTGTTTTGCGTTGATCAGGTCGAAAGTAACATCTAAAAAATTTACAACGTTCATATTTACTTCGGCGGTGATTTTCAGGTCAAATTGCTCGAAAATTTTGTGTAGCTCTTTTCTAGTTTTGTCTAGTAAACGGGCGGATTTGCTTTTTATAATAGCCAAACCATCATTTCTATAAAGGCCGATGTTTTCCTTGCCAAACCTCTTACCTAAATGATTTAAAATGAAAAGGCCTACAAGCTCACAAATTTCAGCGCCGTCGAAACTACCCATAGTGACGTCAAATAAACTGTTGCTTCCGTCTTTTTTTGTCCATAATTTGCCGTTGCCGAAAAGTAGAGATTTTCTTGCATGTTTTATTATTGAAATATCGTTTTCGGTAATAGTAGTCAAATCCGAAGCCCAGGCCAATGCTTCATTTAAAAGTTTTTCGGAAATGGATGGGTAGAAATCCACAATATCAAATGAAATAAAACTGTGCCTGTCTTTATCGTTTATATTGCCAAACCATGAAATTTCTTGTTGCGTATTTCTCCATTCATTTGAATTTAGTTTTTGTCTGGAATTGGAATTGATTTTATCTAAAATAACCTTACTTAGTTTTCCGGATTCGCTTTTTGCGGGATTAATTAGTCGGCATTTTGGATTGTTTTCGAAATTTTCTTTGTGATCTTTTAAAGATATAAATGCTTCGCGTTTTTTCATTCGTTCAATTCTGTCTCCAATTCCTAACCTACTCGAAATTTCTTTCAATTCGGAGTCAATTTCATGTATGAAGTCGTCTGATCCATGTTTGTACGTTTTCGTAATGTTGTCGTGTAAGAGTTCGTTGTATGTGTCCAGGGACGTTTCGTAAATGTTTCTAGTTTTGTCCGCGAAAATGAAAATGTTGGGGGATGAATTAATTTTCTTCAAATCGTTAGCCAAAGATGTCTGAAATTGGCCTTTAGGACGCCGGAATTTTACGTTTTCAATTAGTTTTATCAAGTCGTCTTCGAAAGGTTTCAAAAGTGGAACTGAAGGAGGCGATTTGTTAGACGAAAAGCCAAAAAGGTTGCTTTGGTTTTGAGTCGTTGATCCTTTTAGGAAGAAATTAGCTTTCCATCTCATACGTTTTGTTACGCTTTCCACTTTTTCAATCAAATTCTTTAAGTAAGCATCCTGTGATGGTATAGGAATATTCTTTAGTGAATAATCGAATCGAAATTGTCGCATGTTTGAAGTAGAAATAAAATGAATAACGTAGACAAGAGTGCACAACCGATTACCGGGTGCAAATATAGCTTAAGATTTTGGTTTACGAAACACAAACAGCGCTCAATACCATATAGATAGAGCGTAATATAGTTTTTCGTTTTACCTCAAAAAACCACAACAGTCTGTTTCATCCGTATAGGAATCATCAGGTGGTGAATAATTTCGAAATTGTAGGTTGCTTTTATGCTGTCGAAAGAATGTGTGGAATGCGTGTAGGCGAAACAATGCTTAGGTGAAACAATGCATGCTTGGGTCATTAGGGTTTATTAACGACCTTGTTTACTCGAAACCGGTTTTTGTGACGACATTTGCCGAAAATTTCGCTTCTTTTATTGAGTAAATTGTCTTTGTTTATGTCTTTCAAAATGCAAAATTTTTCTTCCAAACATAAATTGCAGCGTTTTGATATATATATATATATATATATATATATATATATATATATATATATATATATATATATATATATATATATATATATATTAGGCCCTCCAGGGGGTTTACTACTCCTACAGTACTACTTGTGTTGTGTTTGCAATGAAATATGGTACCGGTAAGCATTGTAATCTGTAGACAAAGATACCCTAATGTTAAATTATGAAAAAAAACCAAATAATAATGAAACAAATTTTATATAATAAAGCAAATATAAAGAAATATATTTCAATTGATATTGTATGTAGCAGTCAATGTGACATTTGCTAAAGATATAACAAGAACAGAACACAAGTCACAACACAACAAACATCAAGTTGATAATTTAATCAATATGCCACTGGCATTAATAAAACCAGGGTGCTGAACCACTAGCTACTGGCCTTTGGCCATACAAATCTGCAAGGGTGACGGAACACATAATTATCACCTGCTGATATCAACATGTAAGTGGCAATCATAGGTGTATTCTGTGTGAAGTTCATACAGAAGATCAACAGTTATACCTCGACTTTTATTGTCAATTGTATTGCGAATTTTGAAAATCCATGCCAGAGATCTTCGTACGAAGATCTGGGTGGAAATACTTAACCCTTTAAGTGGCAATGCATCCTACTTTATATATATATATATATATATATTATATATATATATATATATATATATATATATATATATATATATATATATATATATATATATATATATATATATATATATATATATATATATATATATAGCATAGCTTAATATTTTGGTTTACGAAACACAAACAGTGCTCAATACCATATAGATAGAGCGTAATATAGTTTTTCGTTTTACCTCCAAAAACCACAACAGTCTGTTTCATCCGTATAGGAATCATCAGGTGGTGAATAATTTCGAAATTATTCACCACCTGATGATTCCTATACGGATGAAACAGACTGTTGTGGTTTTTTGAGGTAAAACGAATATATATATATATATATATATATATATATATATATATATATATATATATATATATATATATATATATATATATATATATATATATATATATATATATATTTTATATATATATATATATATATATATATATATATATATATATATATATATATATATATATATATATATATATATATATATATATATATATTATATATATATATATATATATATATATATATATATATATATATATATATATATATATATATATATATATATATATATATATATATATATATATATATATATATATATATATATACGACAATGAGCAAAACTTGCCTTAGCCAACAGCACATAATATTACGACAAAGAGATGGCTACGTATCGAAGAATTTATTAAAGATAAAATAAAGTATACAAATAAATTTTCGGCCACTTGACACGACCTTCCTCAGAATAAAAACTAAGTTACAGCACATGGCATTTATACTATTTAGCATGCTAAGTAATTAACCTAATCCTATTGTTGTACAAAATCATGCGTAGAGTTAAGTCCTCTTTGATTAGTCAATAGCATACCAATCCAAAAAATTTCACATTGTCTTAGGTTGCCCTGGCGCCGATCAATTAGCATGAATTTCAACAATGAATAATCAGCACCATGACAATCCAGAAAATGGTTAACAATACCACAGGTTCTCTTATTACGTTTGATGTGAGACTTGTAATTAGCGAGTCGGGTCTTAAAATTGATAGTAGAACCCACTCCTTGCAAATTGCAAGCAACACAACTAGCAAGATAAACAACTTATCGGAGGTGCAAGTAAGATATTTACCAATCTGAAATACTCTTTTAGAAACTGTGGAACTAAAGGTGGAACCTTCTTCTAAAAAGTTTTTACAACAGTCACATCGCTTAGCTTTACACCTAAAACAGCCTGTAGTTTCCCTATACGACCGGCTTTTAATTTTAAATGGATTAGAGGGGGCCAACAATTCTTTTAAGTTGGCAGTTTTCATAACAAATGTAATGAGTATGCTAATTATTTGATAGCCAGTGGGCATGATAAACAGCATGTTAAAAATATATTTGAGGAGGTTGCAGCTATTAGTAGGCATGAAGCCAGGAAAAAGAAGAAAAAAGATAATAGGAATTTATGTATTTTTTCGACCAAATACAATCCCAAATCTTAAAAAAACATCATAGAGAAATTATTTGTAACGATGAAAAGGCCATTGAGGTTTTACCAGAGGGAGCCATTTGTGTGGCATATAAACGTAATGCCAACTTAAAAGAATTGTTGGCCCCCTCTAATCCATTTAAAATTAAAAGCCGGTCGTATAGGGAAACTACAGGCTGTTTTAGGTGTAAAGCCAAGCGATGTGACTGTTGTAAAAACTTTTTAGAAGAAGGTTCCACCTTTAGTTCCACAGTTTCTAAAAGAGTATTTCAGATTGGTAAAGATCTTACTTGCACCTCTGATAATGTTGTTTATCTTGCTAGTTGTGTTACTTGCAATTTGCAAGGAGTCGGTTCTACTATCAATTTTAAGACCCGACTCGCTAATTACAAGTCTCACATCAAACGTAATAAGAGAACCTGTGGTATTGTTAACCATTTTCTGGATTGTCATGGTGCTGATTATTCATTGTTGAAATTCATGCTAATTGATCGGCGCCAGGGCAACCTAAGAGAATGTGAAAATTTTTGGATTGGTATGCTATTGACTAATCAAAGAGGACTTAACTCTACGCATGATTTTGTACAACAATAGGATTAGGTTAATTACTTAGCATGCTAAATAGTATAAATGCCATGTGCTGTAACTTAGTTTTTATTCTGAGGAAGGCCGTGTCAAGTGGCCGAAAATTTATTATTTGTATACTTTACTTTAGTCATCTTTAATAAATTCTTCGATACGTAGCCATCTCTTTGTCGTAATATTATATGTGCTGTTGGCTAAGGCAAGTTTTGGTTATTGTCGTATATATATATATATATATATATATATATATATATATATATATATATATATATATATATATATATATATATATATATATATATATATATATATATATATATATATATATATATATATATATATATATATATACAGGGTGTATCAAAAAAAACTGAACAGATTTAAAATTGCTCTCAATTTCGCAAAACAGCTATTTGTATCTGTTTTTTTATGTGTATAGCTTCTTTGGGTACTTATAATGTAAAATAATGAAAAAAATTTCTCGAACTCAAATTTTGTGAACCAGGGGGGGGTGTCTTTTCCAACAAACTAAAAATGGCTCGCGCACAAAATTTAAAAGCTGCAATCATATTTTGAGTTGACAGATGGAAAATTTGTCGGGATTTTAATTACTGTACAAAATTTCAGACAATTTGGTTTAGTTTAAGCCCCTTAACTATACACGCAAAGTTACAATTTTCCCGAAAAATCAGCTATTTGCATGCTTAATTAATGCATTTGCCTAATTTGCATATGTCAGCAATATGCAAATTAGGTAAAGGCATTAATTAAGCATGCGAAAGGCTGACTTTTTAGAACAAAATGAGTAGTTAAAGGGCTTAAACTAAACCAAATTGTCTGAAATTTTGTACAGTAATTAAAACCCCGCCAAACTTTCAATTTATCAACTCAAAATATTATTGCAGCTTTTAAATTTTGTGCGCGAGCCATTTTTAGTTTGTTGGAAAAGACACCCCCCCTGGTTGACAAAATTTGAGTTCGAGAAATTTTTTTCATTATTTTACATTATAAGTACCTAAAGAAGCTATATATTAAAAAAACAGATACAAATAGGTGTTTTGCGAAATTGAGAGCAATTTCAAATCTGTTCAGTTTTTTTTTTATACACCCTGTATATATGACATTACTTGAGAAAAACTGGTAAAAGACCTTTAAGACTGAAGGAATACACAGGAAAAGAAACCAGGCCGGCAGTTTCGCGCCCTTTTCGTCTTTGCCCATTCTTGCCCGGTCGAATTCCGAATTGTAAACTGTACTAATTAGAACTAATGTACATCCAAAACTTTCACACCAGTTAGTTCTTCCTGAAAAAGGAGGTTCAACGGGATCGGAAACAGTAGGACGACGTAAAATGCAAAAAACATGGTTTTTCCGTATGTCGCTCTATGATTTTTGACTGGTTGAGCCGCCATCTTGGATTTTCAAATTTGGCGCGCCTCTTCAGCCGAGTCAGCAATCTAGGTCTCCTATATCTATGGCCTACACACGTAAAAACGAACAAGTTGTAACAAACCTGCAGCAGACTTGAAGCAATGCTGTTCCGATAAAATGTCAACAGGATGTGGTCGCACAGCTTGTTCCCAGCTTGTTGACAAGTTGTCAAAGACTTGTTGACTACTTGCTACAAGGTTGTTGATTCAACAGACTTGTCACAAATTGTTCCAACAACTTGTTATAGTCCTGCAATTCAACAATTTATCTACAAGTTGTGAGTGACAACCTTGTAGCAACTTGATAAAATAACAGCATTGTTACAACTTGTTGGCAAGCTTGCTACAAGGCTGTTCGCAACACATCTTGTTGGCAAGTTGCGAGATTTTTACGTGTGTAAAAGGGTGAGGGAAAAGTCTCATTTTACATGTTTCCACTTCCGCACTTCGCACTTGGATTGCAAGGAGTGACCGTTCTGTACAATCATCTTTGAGGATCATATATACTTCAAAATACTTGCTAAATTTGGTTTCTGTTTGCTTTTAAATTATACAAACATGTAAACTGTAGATTCTTATAGCAACAGACAAGTCCGGAAATCAAGCAATGAAACGTATGATCGTATGCTTTGAAATATGTGCTCTTTTATTCTCTTGGGGTTCGGGCGGAGTTTCATTTTCACGCGTACGTTTCTTGTTCTGCCTGTGGTTCAGCTATACGTAATTCATAAACTGTATATGCGCACGAAGTTTCGCTCATAGAATCACTTAATGAGTTTTTATAAGCCTTTTAAAGTTTCCATTGATAGATAGGTTGTTTGCCTCCAGCATCGTTTGGTGAAACTTCTAAAATGTCGATTACAGTATACGATAAAGATTAAAGTTGATATAAATATTGATGACTAGCTCACAGCGGCATTATACATGTCGAACGAAGCTGGATTTTAAGCTGGATTATTCATTACCCAATGGGCAATGGCAATGCCAATGAAAGGTCTTTATAAGATTTATAATGTACCTCTGCATACTGTAAATTACTGTAATATCATAGTTAACTCGGTTTCTTTTGTTTCAACAGGGACGTTTAATCTCGTATTTCCCTCATTACCCATGCATACGCTTTTGTCTTCTAAATTTCCCCGGGAAATTTAGTTGAAAACAAAGGATTTCTTTGTCTTCTAATTTCCCCCTGCATGCTTGATGAGGGAAATTTAGTTGAAAACAAAGGATTTCTTTGTCTTCTAATTTTCCCCTGCATGCTTGATGAGGGAAATTTAGAAGACAAAAGCGTACCTCATTACCTCTGACTGGAGAGCTGTACCTCATCGAAAATCATCGGCACAACTATGGACAGTATCTGACGACACCGTCCCGTACACATTCGAACAATCACTTTGCCAGCTTTTATTCCCTAATCTTGAACATTTCAATTGTGGGAGAAAATTCCGTATATGAAAAGTGTTCGTACCACAATCATAAGACAATCAAACAGCATTCAAAACAGGCAACACACCACGCGCGATTCCCTCGTTAACTATGATATTACAAAGTAAGAGCGCGGCATTACGGTCGATTAGTGATTTAATGTCCCTCAAGCCTCTCTCGGCTTTCGAGTACATTTAATCACTAATCGCCCTGAATGCCATGCTATTACTTATAATAATACATGAAATATGAAATAATTTACTATAATTATAAAGTGCAATACCAGTGTCTGGTCCTTGTATTGTCCTAAATATTCAAGTTGTACCGCACGCACGGAGAAGTCTTGGCGTTCGTGTGATAACAGATAGCTATACTTCGACATAATCATTCTTGATCGTGGTGTTTTAGCAATGTAAATGCAGGGAATTAAGACTCAATTTTACAGTCCATAACGGGTTTTAATTCCGTGCTTTCACAGTCAGGATAGCATTGTTTACACAAAGTTGGCGATGTTTGGGAAATTAAAGGATCCTGTTGACCCGTTATAAAATAAATCCTTTGTTTTGAATATCGGACAGGATACACTTCAACTATAAACAGCCATATCGTTCGTTTGATCAATCAATCAGCGAAGCGTGCTCAACTTCACATGCCAGGCGCGCCTGCAAGAGTCCTTTCCTTGCAAGAGAAATATAATGATCCAGCTTCTCGCTTGAAATGTAACGCAACACTTATTATAGATGACATTGAGTATAGCAGGAAATCATGTCATGATAAATAATCTTTAGTTAAATCGGCTTGCATTTTCGTTTGTTAGAACACAATGATGACCGTCGAAGCGAAACAGCGCGAGGGTGACACCGTATGGTCGTCATTAACAACGGAAGAAGTTAAAGCAAAGGTTCTCAGTGAGTCCGAAGAAAGAAAGAAACTAAAAGAGGTGCAAAAGCACCATGTCAAAGATCTTCTGAAAAAGCCAAATGTTACCTCCGTCGATATAGATTATAAGAGGATTAACGGCAAAGAGGTAGATCAACTTGCTATTGTGATTGGGGTCAGAAAGAAGAAACCTGAAAGTCAATTAAATAAAGATGAAATTCTTCCCAAAAAACTGGATGATTGCGTTGTAGATGTTATCGAACAGGTAGCCACTTACGCGAAAAAGCCAAGCAAATTAGGCCGTACATAAGTGTGATATCATCATAAACATATGATCATTCAGTATATAGATTATAGTATTTAAAAAGAAGTAAAAACTTACCGATACTAACAATTTTTAATTTTTGGTATTTTGATGGGGTTTTCGTTACTATGTGTAAAAAAGCTGTATTCAACATAATGACCCCATAATGGCCCAGGGAAATAATAATTCGCAGAAAAGTTGGGCTGAAGGACATGAGCAGCGCTGTTTTAGTGCTATGTGTATAAACAATCCTTAAGTTCTTGATGACACGTTCATTTAAACTTCTTTTCTTTGCACCACTTCTAAATAATATAAATTAGCATGCTCACGAAGTACAACACAAGTGGTACAAGTTTATGCTGAATAACAGAATTCTAACTCGCGCTTCTTAGCTATAAGCCTTTGCTGTGACCTCGAAAAGTGCCTAGAAAACGATTTTCATTTCCCATGTCTTGGAACTGAGAAATTTTTACGGGAACTAACGCCCGTATTCTAAAAGCTCACTCACACTCAATGAGTGAAAGTTCAATCTGAGCTTCTCTCGAGTGTCATTGTTGTTTTTGAATAACTGGAGGGTTAGTGTCGTACCTTACTATGTGACTATTCACTCTCCAGCTATTCAAATATGGCATTGACACTCAAGAGAAGCTCAGATTGAACTTCCACTCATTGAGTGTGAGTGAGCTTTTAGAATACGGGCGTAACACTTTCGAACACGCTGAGTTCAAATCCGAAAAGTTTCCGCTCCTTAGACCTTAGAGTTTTCTTACAAACTGCAATTTTATATTCACTAATTTCACGACAAATTTTTTCATTGTTTAACGACACGGATCGATGACGACAAACGGTTATGTCACTCAAAAGGACCAATTTCTATTAACCAGTCTTCCTTTTAACAAAAGTCCGGTTTTGCTCAAGTCATTTTGAGTTATGTAATCTTATGCGTGTTGGACGTAAACAACATATCTTGTCTACAACTTTGAGAAGGTACAGATAATGCTTTCTGGAATCCTCAGTTCAGCTCTATAACATTACAAGGACGTTAAGGTTAAATTTTTGGGCTATGTCTCTGGGCTGAGAATAATTCCTTACATGCGATAAGAATGTTTTATACAACGATTAGTCTAGGACCTGTATATGAGTTTGTATGCGATTCATTTAGGACAGGTAATCTCCACTTTTTTAGGGTAAAATGACCATGGCGGTCAACATAGCATATGTGCGAAAACCTGAATCCGGGGCGAAAGTCCTGAAAATGACCCCGCCCTGAAACGGCAGTGTCGACATAGCTCTAACTTCCGAAAGGGAAAAGCGATAGCCTTTCTGAAGTGCTTATAGTGTTTAGAAGGGTTGCTTTTAGGGGTGGTCATTGGAAGGAAAAATTTGTCGAAGTATAATATTTTACTAGAAAATGACTATTGCACCACCCCAGGTAAATTGCTGATTATGCACAAAATAACTAATATGCCTGGCAGAAATTAAATATTCTTATTTCCTAAAAAAAATTATCATGTGGTGAAAAACTATGCTTAATTTAATATAATTATTGTGGATTTCATGAGGATTGTCATTGTTTTCTTTTAATATAATACATTTTATTTGCAGTCTTGTTTGCTTTTTATCGCCGAGTCTCGCAAATATCATCCAGTCGTTGTACTTTTACATAATCGTAAATGGCTAAAGAATATTTCACCCAAGTTTCATGAAGTTTTGGAACTGTGCAGTGTATTTTATCTTCGATATTGTGTCCTTCGATATTTCGTCAAATTGCCGCCATTTTAATGGCTCGCCGCTTCTCTGTCCGATAAATGCCACTTCTCCGTTTTCATATGTATTTAGATTACAGTATCCAAGAGTACTTCATTGTGGAATAGTCCCAATCGAAAAATGGACAACATTTGTCCCATTTGGGAGGAAGAACCCTCCCGTATACCATTTAGGTTCAAAATAAAAAACAAATCATTTGAAAGTCACGCGCAATCTTCGCGAAAACTTCTCGTGGACACATGACAGGGGGGGTGCATATTTCCACGAAACGTTTGTTCGCCAGCACAGAAACAACTAAATATATTGTATTTATTGTATTTTTATGATTTATGACAAAAATACGCAAATATTTATTGTTTTTATCATATATCATGAAAATACAATAAATACAATATATTTAGTTGTTTCTGTGCTGGCGAACAAACGTTTCGTGGAAATATTCACCCCCCTGTCATGTTGTGTCCACGAGAAGTTTTCGCGAAGATTGCGCGTGAGTCGCATGAATCGCATACAAACTCATATACAGGTCCTAGACTAGATGTAATAACGGCAATGTCATGTAGTGGGTCAGCATTTGAATTTCCAACACAGTTTCTGAGACGTAATTCAAGAGATAAGGCCTTTTTTGTACGTCGAATTTTGGTCGCGTCGAATGCAATTCAAACAATAGATAATGATGCTTAATGAGGTTTATCATCTCGTTATCGATTGTTTGAATTGCATTCGACGCGACCAAAATTCGACGTATAAAACGGGCCTCACTTATCATTGCATTTGAACTATTATATCAGTTGGTGTTATTCTGTGCGATTAGCGAATATTATTGGAAAGAGGGCTTCCATATACGTTCAAATCGGCAACTAACAGCTCATGCACACCTTTCGCCACTTTGTCGTAAGTTTGCAGAGCAGATTTTATCACAGGAGGCCCAGGTTCGATTTGCCCGCGCCCGCCTGCCACTTCCTTATAACGAGGGAAGGAAGGAAACATTGAGACCAAAATAGACCAGACTTGGCATATGTCACACGAAACTATCCTAGATTTTTCGCCTTTAATGCATTTCTTTCAAGATTAATCGATATCCCCTGTAAGAATGATACAGTCCTCTGTCTTGGGGGCCATTCACAAAGGATGTCCGGCCAAATGATGGATTTTCAGACCCCCCTCCCCCCCTTGTCCGGCATTGTCCGAATTAGTGACCCCCCCC